TAACTTCTTTCTTCCTGTTTTCAAGAGCAACCATCCATTGAGTACCTTTAAACAATTTGAATTTTTCTTGTGGAGTTATTGTTTAGAAAAATTGTATTGACCATATCATTTTTATAATTTTCCAGATTTTCTTTTATTCTTTTCCTGATTTCATTGTTCAGCAGAACCGTGAGATCTTTTATTTCCTTTTCAGAAATGTCTTCTATTTCTTTTATCTTTTTACGAACTCTTAAAAGTTCTTTCGTTCTTTCTGATAGTTTACTAGGTTTACTCATACTGAACCCAGGGCTCTGTGCCCTTGTGTCTTCAATGGCTTTGGCAATAATACTATACTTTTCCTGGACTGAACTAAGTACTTTTCCTTCTCTACTTTCATAACTATGCTGCAGATTTCTTGTGAGTTCAGCTTGAAATTTTTCTATCTGGGTTGGGTCGTGAAGAGGTGAGTGCTTCATCTTTGCCCTAAATGGTCTTCTTCTTTTATACTTTTCGATATGTAACTTTGCTCTTAACATCCTGTGATCTGTGTTGAAATTTAGCCTTTGTATGACCTCCATATTTTTGACTAAACTAATTTGATTAGTCAAAAAATAGTCCAACTCAAACTTGTGTCCTTTTGGTGAGCACCAAGTCCATTTTTCTTCAGCTTTTGTTTTAAAGAAAGAATTTCCAATTTGTAAACGTTGGCTAAAACTAAAATGGATTAACTGGTTTCCTCCTTCGTTTCTTTTACCGTATCCCCAATCTTCCATAATCCTATCTTCACCATTTAATTTAACACCAGCCCTCCCTGCCATTAAGGTCCCCTACCACAGTAATCCAATTATTTTTTCGCTTAAAGCTGGAAGTAACAGTGTCTAGTTCTTGATAGAATTTTTCTTTTGCTTCATAAGAATCCGCCATCGTAGGAGCATGCACTTGCCAAATAGTTAATTTTTTACTGAAAGTAATTTCTAACACTAGCATGGCTATTCTGCAGTTTTAATTATCCATCAATCCCTTTCCCATCATCTATTCCCTTTGCTAACCCATAATTTCCTACAATCCACTGCCGTGATAATCCAAACTTCCATTTACCCAATAGCAGTAGTCGCAGCATTCTCCTCGCCTAAAATACCCATCTCAGAATCCCAATTAACTTCCTTCCTTAACTCCTTAAGATACCACTTCCTTCTAGGTGCAGACTTAAATGCTAAACACCCGCAATGGGGAACCAGAACCACAAATTCCCGAGGACGAACATTGCTGTCTGCAATTAATTCCCATCACAGCAACATCCTGTCACCCAATTCTCCCACATACTGGCCAACAGATCTTAACCGCAATCCCGATCTATTGTATTTTTTCATTCACAAAGGTCTAGGGTCCCTTAATTATTGCATTTCAAGACTTGATGATCTTTCCTCGGACCATAGTCCACTAATCCTAACGGTCTCCACATCACCAATTCCCAAATCACCTCCACCTTCATTTATCAGGGGGCCAGTTAATTGGAACCTCTTCCGTTAAATACTGGATGATAATATTGACCTCAGAGTTTCCTTAAAAACACCTGCAGACTTAGATGAAGCAGTATGTTCCATGGCTACCTTTATCCAACAAGCAGTTTGGACTGGATCTTCACCTGATCCTTCTAAAAAATACCGCAAAATAAATCCTCTACCCCAAGACCTACTGGGCCTTATTAATAGAAAACGATGCTCTAGGACCATCTAGCAAAGAACCAGGCATCCTGATGATCGGAAATCATATAACTATTATTTCAAGCAGGTAAATCAAAAACTGGCTACGTTTAGATCCCAATCCTATAATTCCTATCTTTCCTCACTATCTGGAAGTGATAACTCCCTCTGGAATGTAACTAAAAAAATCCTTAAATTCCAATCCATTACCCACCCCCTCCGCCGTGATTATGGTTCCTGGGCTTCGTCAGATGAGAATAGAGCAGAAGAGTTTGCTAAACATCTATCGTACACATTCACTCCTCATCCTGAACTCCATCCCACCCATACTGCTGAAGTTAAAGAATTCCTCTCTCCTTACCTCCTACAGCTGTCAACCCATCTGAGGTCAAATTCCTTTTAAAGAACCTAAAACCTCGAAAATCTCCACGACACGATCTTACTTCCCAGATCCTCAGACAACTTCCCAAAAAAGCAATTATATTCCTTACATACTATTCAACTGTATCCTCCGCACAACCCATTTTCCTCTGGTGTGGAAACACTCCCTAATTATCCTCTTTCCTAAACCAGGTAAACCTGTTAATTATACATCATTCTATAGACCGATAAGCTTAATCCCGATCCTTTCCAAAATCTTTGAGAAAATCCTTCTCAAACGCATCCTACCCATACTCGAATCTCACAATATCCCTTCCCATCAGTTTGGATTCCGCTCAAGACATTCCACTGTCCAACAAGGCCTTCGCGTTGTGGACCAGATACCCTCTGCATTTGCAAACAAGCAATATTGCACTGGTGCCTTTCTGGACGTAGCTCAAGCTTTCGACCGGGTGTGGCACCATGGCTTGCTTTTCAAGCTCAAAACCCATTTACCTAGTCCTCAAATCCTACCTTTCAAATTGCTCCTTTCAAGTCCTCTGCGGCACTGAACTCTCCAAACATTATCCAATTGAGGCTGGTGTTCCACAAGGTAGTGTCTTGGGCCCAGTTCTCTACATCCTCTTCACCGCTGACATCCCTTTAAGGCCTGATACCTTCCTAGCAACATTTGCTGATGATACTGCCATCCTATCCTCCCACTCAGATCCTCTAATAGCATCCCGAAACCTGCAAAGACACCTCCCCTTCATTGAGCAGTGGTGCAACAACTGGCGCCTCAAAATTAATGAATCAAAATGCAAACATGTCACTTTCACTCTTCGAAGCTGATCCTGTCCGCCAATCCTTTTTAATTCAATTCCTCTTCCCTACTCAAACACAGTCCGATACTTTGGCTTCCTTCTAGACAAAAGACTAACTTGGAACCCCATATGAAACAACTGACGATTTGGTCAGCTATATAGACTACTAAACAGAACATCTCATCTTTCAACAGAAAACAAATTGTTAATCTACAAGACGATACTGAAACCTATCTGGACCTACAGACTTGAACTGTGGGGGACAAATAAATCATCAAATATCAAACGCATCCAATCCTTCCAGTCCAAAGTCCTTCGAACAATTGGCAATGCTCCATATTATGTCACGAAAAAAACTCTACACCATTACCTTAACATCCCATATGTCCATGACATCATCCCATCCAGATTCTCCAATTTTCACGGCTTATGTAGATGATCTGGCCATTGTGGTAGCCTCGAACAGCAGAACCCGACTGAAAGAAGAAGCTGAAAGGGCCAACCTAGTAGAAGAGTGGTGCGAGAAGAAGAAATTCAGGATGGCCGCAGCCAAGACTCAGGCCATCCTCTTGAAAGGCACGATTGATAGGGCTCACCCTATAACAATGGTTATACAAGCATCAAGAATACGTCCAAGTGAGGTTGTCACCTATCTTGGGATTAGGATTGGAAGAAAGTTCAACGTGACACCTCACTTGGACTACTTGAGAAGTAGGGTAGCCCTAACCCTTAACGGACTCAGTCGTATTGGGGGAGCATTTTGGGGCCTCAGGTACCCAGCAACTATGACCATTTATAAAGGTGTTATTGTGAGTATCCTGAGGTATGCGTCCCCTGCCTGGAGCCAAAATCTCTCGCACAGACAGAAATGTAGGTTGGCCACGATTCAGCGGATGGCTCTTCGAGTGTCCAGATCATTCAGGACGGTGTCTCATGAGGCTGTGCAGGTCTTAGCAGGAGGAATACCTCTCGACCTCCTGCTGAGAGAAGGCTACTACCGGTATAAGATTAGGAGAGAATGCTTAGCGGCTCTACCGGATTACCTCCGAGTGAGAATATTTCCTCACTTCGACTATTGTTGTACAGTATATGGGGGCGTCTCCGGGGGATCTCGATGTGAAACTAAAACGTTTGATAAATTGCCTTGTACTTCGGGTATTGTATTCATCCTCGGGATTCCAAGGGATGCTTCTATTTCCCGTTAATATGAAGAGCTGAAATGGCTTTATCCTTCCTACCGACGTAAGTATTTCCTAGCATCGTTCCTCTCCGAGTCATCCAATCCCGCCGTCCTTCATACGTCTTCGAGCTCCTTCAATTGAAATCCTCTGTCCACTACCGCAAAACCCGTTCTCGGTCCTTAGATTTGTATACAAGATCCCACCGAACCGCTGCTTTCGACAGATCTTTCATTATTCGATCTATATCCCTATGGAATTCTATCCCATCCTACATCCGTCGCTCCAATACCCACCCCACCTTTAAATCCCGCCTGTTCAATCACCTCTTATCCATTCAGTTCTCATAAAACTGTAAATAGAAGTAAATATGTACATAAATAATTAATTTGTTTTAAATATTTTTATTTCATTTTTCCCCCTCTTAATTGAAGATTGAAGGTAAATAATATTCGTTTCTTTAATTTATTCAATACATAAATCTGTTTATTTTATAATTATTCTCTGAGGCTCCAAAGCCCACATTTCTATCTCTGTACACTATTCTAAAGGGACTTGTCTCAGAATAAATAAAGCATTATTATTATTTAGATCCATTGGAAACAAACGATGGAGCATGTGTCTAATACTTTTCGATGTAGAATCACCAATTAAAAAATTGGTTGGAATTGGTGCCTTAATGATGACTGTGGCCTCCCCTAATAAGTGGTTAATTTTATCCAAGAATGCAATTAATTATTTTTGTATGTTAAAATTATTCGTAATGTTTATTTATTCTTTTTAAATAGTAACAATATTCAACTACGAAAAACTAGTAAAAACAGCAACTATATTTGGTGTCTGCCATCAGACTGACAACCAGTTGGGCACTCCTGGTCTATTAGGTTATGAATATAATACTTTTCTAACTTATAATGTAAAGAATAATGAAAAACTTTTATTATGTTCAATTTTAGTGCAGTCCGCTCAATACATAATGCTGATACAAGTTTTCAGAGTATTCAAGAACTTCTTAGAAATGCTTTGTTTTTCAAACAACAGTTAAAGTATAAGGAATCACTCAAGTAATTCTCTGATTTATCTGTATGCTGTAAAATCATAAATTTGTTTTATCCTATTTTATTGTATTACAGAACCAAGGAATCAACTTCAGTATATAAAAGACTCTCGGCACATATAACAATTGACCTCCCTGATTTACCTGAATTATCTGATGCTTTAAGAGAAACAGCATCCAAAGTAGAATCAATGATGGCTCAAGCACGTACAGCAAGTTTAGCAACTAATGATGGAAACTCATAATCACTCAACATTTGTATTCGATTGGTTAACCTTATAAAATATACAATGCTTGAATTAAGAATAAAAACATGTTTTATGATACGTGTGTTTCTCTCTCTCTCTCTCTCTCTCTCTCTCTCTCTCTCTCTCTCTCTCTCTCTCTCTCTCTCTCTCTCTCTCTCTCTCTCTCTCTCTCTCTCTCTCTCTCTCTCTCTCTCTCTCTCTCTTTCTTTATTATTATTTTTTTTGTCCTTTTCCGCTGCTGTACCTTATGGTAAACCAATAGCAGCGGCACATCCAATTTCCTAACTTAACTATTTTGCTGCGAATTTATTTAGGGTTCGGTCACGAGGATAGGCAGGCCTGCTCCTACTTTGATCCAACTTCGTGAGGCTAAATTCAGTCTCTCAATTTGGTTGGGGCATTAATACCGGGTCTACCTACACTAATGGGCTGCCTGTAACTGAAGGGTTATTCCCACCAAACAGGACTCCAGTAACTTCCTACCTATTAATGATTGGCCTATATAACAGTTTATGTATATTAGTATAATAAAATGGCAATAACAATAAAAGAGAAGTTGGTTAGGGCGTTCAAAAAAAATTGTAAGTCAAAATGAATTCGGCAGTTTATCCATGTCGGTGGCCTACCAGACATCTGTATTGGGCAATTTTTGGTAAAATGTCCTCTTTCACCGCAGTATCCACAGTTTACAAAGGTCTCTGGACATTTTCTTTTTTTTTTTTTTTATTCTCTCCGGTCTCCCGTTCCTTACATTTTAGGCTACACGTGGTTGTTCCTGGGGCGGGGAATTATGCAGAGTTAAAAGTCCCACCGTGCACAGTGCTTTTCACACGCGTTAGCCTACCCCGCCCCTAAATTTTTTTAATACGTGAAAACCCTTGGCACTTATTGCAGCGTGACACTGCCACCCAGTCCCGCAAATTGCATGATGCCCAATATAAAAATACTCTCCTCTCTTCTCTTAGGAGTTGAGTTTGGACTGTGGAGGGAACAGGTCACGTTTTAATTTCGCTCCGTGTTTGGTGATGTTTGTGATTATTTAAAGTTATTTTATTTTATATTAAATGCTAGAACTTTCGATAACAGTTATCACTGTTATATAATTATTTCAATTAAACTTTTTACAAAGAAGTAATTTATACATTTCATTATGAGTGACACAGAAGAGCAAGGTAGTGGGGGTATTGAAACGGTAAACAAAGGATTGGGCAGAAGCGATGCTGAAGGTAATCCTTTCAGCTTACTCTTTAATAAGCTTGAATCCCTAACAAACGAAATACTATTGTTGCGTAAGGAGTTAACTTCTATAGATAAAAGAATTACTGATAATTTTAATAAATACAATTCAGAGGTTTTAAATATTAAAAAAAGAAGTCCCATCTTTAAAACAATATTTTTTTTCAACTGATCAATACAACCAAAATAACGAAATAAAATTAATAAATATTCCTCGAATGGAAGGGGAAGACATTTTGTCTATTATCGAAAATATAAGTCATACTATTGGCTTTCAGTTGGACGAATATTAATTTTAACTCTTTTTACACAATAAAAACTAACTTAGGTAAAGGGCCGATTGTGGTTAAATTTCTAAGAAATATTGATAAAACTGAATTCCTTAAGTTATATAGATTGAAGAAAAATTTGATTAACACGGAATTGTTTAATATAACTCCAGCATTATCGGTGTTTGGGTCAGAACTGTTATCTCCCTACAGTGCTTGACTTTTCTAACAGATCAAGTCTAATCAAGAGAAATATAATCTAAAATATGTATGGATGAGGCCAGACAAGATGATGCAACTCCTACAATTGTTATTCGTACACAGGAAGATATCCAAAAAATAGCTGCTAATTTTGGCAACCTTACTTCGGAGAAAGATTATTCTGGCGAGGAAAGGGAAACAGAAACAGATAAAAGCGAGGCGAATAGAAAATATGGCGATTCACGGAAAAAGAGGGAGCTAAAGCTGTTTCTTCACAGAAGTCATTGGACAGTTTTTTATGAAAATAGAAGAAACCTTAAATTTAAAAAAAATGTTTGTTAAAAGGTAATTTGTTTAGCATTGTTTATCTTAATATTCAAGGTTATAATAAGTTATTTAATGTAGATTCTGAGGTTATCAATTTTCTGCTTAGTTATCCTGTTATTTGTCTTTCTGAAACTTTCGTAACTAATTCTTTTTCTTCTTTAGCTTTCCTCTTTAGTGCCTCTCAGCGTAGAGAGGTATTCAGCCAGGAATTCCATTCTTTCCTATTTCTAGTTAGGTTTCTCGCCTGTCGGAGGTCCTTATCCCTCGCCCTACAGAGTTTCTCAATGTAGTCATGTTAGGACGGTCCCTTCCAGGTCTTCTGCCACCTGGGACATATTCCATGGTCTTTAGAGGATCTCTATCTGTGGTCGTCCATCCTGATAACATGGCCGAACCACATTAGCCTCGAGTTTCTAGCAACTCTTTCAGTGGGGCTATCTGCAGTTCCTGACGAATACTTTCATTGCGAACTCGGTCTCTCCTTGTTTTTCTAACCGTCCTTCGCAGAAATTTCATTTCGGCAGCGGTGATTCTGCTCTCCTGTTGATCTGTTAATATCCAGCTCTCTGCTCCATACAAGAATATAGGTAGATATACCGTCTTGAAAATATGTAGCTTGACATCTTTGACTTCTTCTCTCTTCCATTCTACAATGTTACATATCTTGTAGTAAACTGTATTTGCTTTATTAATCCTGTTTGATATTTCTGCGTCTACCTTCCCAGATCCGTCTATCACTGTACCCAGGTATGTGAAATCTGTCACTACTTCTAATTCTTCTTCATTACAGTATATGTGGATATCTTCCGACTTGTAGGATCTTACTTTTGTTGGTATTTATAAGCATCCTTTTTCGTTGGAGCTCTTCATACTATTCCATAACTGCCAATTGTAACTTTTCCACTGAGTCCGTAATCAATACCACGTCGTCGGCGTAGAGGAGAAAGTATTACTACAGGATTAAGATTCCTACGTCCCAGGAATGTCCTATCCATTCTTTTCTTACTAATGAATGTCACTTCATCCATGAACAACAATGGGCTTAGGCTGTCTCCTTGTTTCACCCCCTTTGCAATATTGAAACAACCTGATTCTAGCCCGTTCAGCCTGACTATTCCTTTGGGCTCTTGATATATATATTTTATCGCCTCTGTCAGATTTCTCTGAACATTCTTCGATATGAGAGCTTTCCATATTTCATCCCGTGGAACCGAGTCAAAGGCAGATTTGTGGTCAAGGAAAGCCAGATACATATTTTTATCCAGGTCCCAGTATTTGTGTAAGATATTTCTCAATGAGAAAATGTAGTCATGGGTTTGGCGCCGGGGTCTTAACCCAGCTTGTATTTTTCCTATTAGATGCTGGACTAGTGGTCTTAAGCGACCCACCAATATGGATGTATACAGTTTGTACGCAGCTGATGAGAGGCATATGGGTCTGTAGATAGTGCCATCCTTTCTTGTGAATTGGTATTATAATACATTCACAATCCGTTGGAATCCTTTTTTCGTCCCAGGCTTTCTGGAAAAGGACTTGCAATGCTCGCACCAGCTCAGGGCCGCCATTCTTTATTAATTCAGCTACTACCCCATCCCGTCCTGGCGCTTTTCTTGTTTTCATTTCTTCCTCGACCACCTCATCGTACTCTTCCTCACTCTAGTTTCCATTTCCATTAGTTGAATGGTGATCATCAAGATCAAACTGATTCATGTAATGATCTCTCCAGACCTCTAAGATTGCTCTGTCTTCCGTAACCATTTTTCCTTCTTCACTCTTCATGTTTCTCACTGCTTTGCTCTTACGTCCTCTTAGAGCTTTAATTTTTTTCCTGAAAATCCTGATGTTTTCCCGATGATCCTGATCCAGCTTTTTCCCAAATTCTTCTCACGATTTTTGTTTTGCCACTCTCACTGCTTCTTTTGTCTTGTTTCGGGCCAACACGTATGCTTACCATTTCTCTGGAGTTTCGTTCCAACAGTATCCCTTCCACGCTGTTTTCTTTTGCATGACTTGCACTTTTGTGCTTCGCTCCACTATGATGTACGTTTACCTTTCTTGCAAATCTTTTTCACTCCACACACACTACAGTAGCTGCTTTCAGAATGCTATCCTGTATTTGAATCCATAGATTGTCAAGGCTTGCATTTGCGTCTAATTCATGGACCCAATTTCTTAACTCTGCTTCATACTCCTCCCTCTTTTGACGGACCTGCAACTTCTCTACTTCAATTCTTGAATATGCTTTCATCTTCTGGTTTCTTTACTTGAGCACTCGGGTATCAGCAACCAGGAGCATATGGTCACTTCCTATTGCTGCACCTTTGATTATTTTTACATCTGAAAAATATCTTCTTATGTCGCGGCTATAGATGAAATAGTCTACGACGCGGTTGACATTTCTCTCAGCGGCTGAAAAGTTAATTTTATGGACCAGCTTATGCGGGAAGAATTAATTCCCCAGTAGTAGATAATTTTCAATGCAGAAAGCAATAAGTCGTTGCCCACTTTCATTTTTAATGTGTTCTCCACCATGCGGTCCCATCACTCCATGTGCTCTTAGGTGATCCTTGCCTATTCTAGCATTGAAGTCTCCCATGATCACTATGCTTCTATTGCAGTTCCTAGCTTTGGTAATTGTTCGTTCAAGGTCTCTATAAAAGAACTCTTTATCTAGAATGTTAGCATCATTTGTCGGTGCATAAACTTGTATTAAAGCCCAATTCCTATTCCGCAACTTTCCCGTATAATTCATCTTTCAATATAAAACCTACTCCTTATACAGCTCGGTTTCCTGGTAGGACTCCAGAGTATATCAACCTGTAACCTTTGTTCATTTCTATTTCTCCAACTCCTTTCCTTTTTACTTCACTTAATCCCAGGATGTCCATCCTGTACGACGTCATTTCATCAATGATCTCCACCTCCTTGCCGGCGAGTGATCTCACGTCCCATGTTCCCAAACGTATGTCTTTATCCATGCCGTGTCATTTCCTTTTAGACTATCCAATTCCGAAGCTTGTTGCTAATTTTTTCTGAATCGATGAT